TGCAGACGGGTTCCGTTGTGGGAGAACACGTCCGTTTAGTGATTTGTGCACTGACCAAGCACCTCAGCAGCGGCAGCATGCTGCATCACAGCAGACAGCCGCGCCAGCTAATTCAAGGGGGTCCGCAGAGGGCCAGCAAGCGGTTGCTGCTGTCGATACGCCGGTGGAGGAGCAGCAAGAGGCTGCTGAACCTTCTGCTGCGGAATTACGGGCTAAATGGCGACGGCAGAAAGCTGCACAGCGTGCCGCAGCCCCTCCTGAGTTGCGGGTGTTGCAGCGCCAGCAGGATGCTGCACGGCACGCAGCTGCACGTGCCGACCCGGAGGTGGGGTTCGATTCCCGCGCGAGTGCTGCACACTGCCCGACAGACTACATTTGCGTGCTAGGCTCCGCAAGCTTCATATTCCTACGAAATGCGCGTGTGTCATACACGCCGTATACGTACGCCCTTAACCGCCGTACAACGCACACACGGAGCTACGGCCCACTCGCGCGAACAGCGCGCTCTAGTAGCCGTAGCGACTACGTAGTAGTCTAGCGGAGGCCTTAGGCCGATTCGCCGTCCCTCCGTCCGTCCGTCCCTCCGTAGCCGTAGCGACTACGTAGTAGTCTAGCGGAGGCCTTAGGCCGATTCGCCGTCCGTCCGTCTGTCCGTCTGTCTGTCCACCAAGTCGTCGGTTCGACCCCTAGTGCGCCGCCTTTTTCTTTTTGCGCGCCGCTTTTTTTCTTTTTTTTCTTCGTATGCTTCATATGCTTCATATGCTTCATATGCTATGCTTCATATGCTTCATATGCAATGCACATATGAGCATATGCACGTATGCACATATGCTTCATATGCACATATCCACATACGCACAGCTCTAAACGCGCAATTCGACGCGCAATTCAACGTACAATTAGCCGCGGAATTCGACGCGCACTTTAGCGCATAATTCGATGCGCGCTTCATATGAATGCCGTACGCGCTTCATACAGCACGATTCACACAGCTCTAAATGCGCAATTCGATGCACAATTCAACGTACAATTAGCCGCGGAATTCAACGCGTGCTTTATCGCATAATTTGATGCACGCCTCAAAACGCGCTTCCGCGCCGGAAGGAATGCCGTACGCGCTTCATACAGCACCGTTCTTCGCTTTTAAGCTTTGACGATCTCGCTTTGATTTGACGATTCCCTTTGTCACTGTGCTGATATACTTTCGAGTTTTTTGCTCTTTATTTTCGCTTCTTTCGCCTTCTCCGCACTTTAGCGCAGGATTCGATGCGCGCTTCATATGAATGCCGTACGCGCTTTATACAGCACGATTCACACAGCTCTAAATGCGCAATTCGATGCACAATTCAATGTACAATTAGCCGCGGAATTCAACGCGCGCTTTATCGCATAATTTGATGCGCGTTTCAAAACGCGCTTCCGCGTCGTACACGCTTCGTACAGCGATTCGCATAGCTCTACACGCGCAATTCGACATGCAATTCAACGTACAATCAGCCGCGGGATTCAACGCGCGCTTTGTTCCACAATTCGATGCGCGCTTCAAAACGCGCTTCCGCGTCGGAATGAATGCCGTACGCGCTTCATACAGCACGATTCACCTAGCTCTAAATGCGCAATTCGATGCACGATTCAATGTACAATTAGCCGCGGAATTCAACGCGCGCTTTATTGCATAATTTGATGCGCGTTTCAAAACGCGCTTCCGCGTCGGAATGAATGCCGTACACGCTTCATACAGCGCGATTCGCATACCTCTAAACGCGCAATTCGATATGCAATTCAACGTACATTCAGACGCAGGATTCAACGCGCGCTTTGTTGCACAATTCGATGCGCGCTTCAAAACGCGCTTCCGCGTCGGAATGAATGCCGTACGCGCTTCATACAGCGCGATTCGCACAGCTCTAAACACGCAATTCGACGCGCAATTCAACGTACAATTAGTCTTTTTTTTCTTCGTATGCTTCATATGCTTCATATGCTTCATATGCTATGCTTCATATGCTTCATATGCAATGCACATATGAGCATATGCACGTATGCACATATGCTTCATATGCACATATCCACATACGCACAGCTCTAAACGCGCAATTCGACGCGCAATTCAACGTACAATTAGCCGCGGAATTCGACGCGCACTTTAGCGCATAATTCGATGCGCGCTTCATATGAATGCCGTACGCGCTTCATACAGCACGATTCACACAGCTCTAAATGCGCAATTCGATGCACAATTCAACGTACAATTAGCCGCGGAATTCAACGCGTGCTTTATCGCATAATTCGATGCACGCCTCAAAACGCGCTTCCGCGTCGGAATGAATGCCGTACGCGCTTCATACAGCACGATTCACCTAGCTCTAAATGCGCAATTCGATGCACGATTCAATGTACAATTAGCCGCGGAATTCAACGCGCGCTTTATTGCATAATTTGATGCGCGTTTCAAAACGCGCTTCCGCGTCGGAATGAATGCCGTACACGCTTCATACAGCGCGATTCGCATACCTCTAAACGCGCAATTCGATATGCAATTCAACGTACATTCAGACGCAGGATTCAACGCGCGCTTTGTTGCACAATTCGATGCGCGCTTCAAAACGCGCTTCCGCGTCGGAATGAATGCCGTACGCGCTTCATACAGCGCGATTCGCACAGCTCTAAACACGCAATTCGACGCGCAATTCAACGTACAATTAGCCGCGGAATTCGACGCGCACTTTAGCGCATACTTCGATGCGCGCTTCATATGAATGCCGTACGCGCTTCATACAGCACGGTTCATACAGCTCTAAATGCGCAATTCGATGCACAATTCAATGTACAATTAGCCGCGGAATTCAACGCGCGCTTTATCGCATAATTTGATGCGCTATGCAGTACGCACTATGCTGTGCCGTACGCGCTTGCGACAGCGCCGTGCAACGCGCAATCTGCAAGCATATACGATCTGCAAGCATATGCGATCTGGAAGCATATGCGATCTGCAATCATATGCCAGGTGCGATCTGCAAGCATATGCCACATTCGATGTGCAAGCATATGCGATCTGCAAGCATATACGATCTATGCTATGCTGTGATATGCCGTACGCGCTATGCTATGCTTCGCTATGCCGTACGCACTATGCTATGCCGTACGCGCTTGCGACAACGCCGTGCAACGCGCAATTTAGCGTGCAATTCAGCGTCAGCGCCGCTACGGAGCTACGGCCCACTCGCGCGAACAGCGCGCTCTAGTCCGTCCGTCCGTCTCTCTATCTGTCCACCACGTCGCCGGTTCAATCCCCAGCACGCGCGCGTCTTTTCTTTTGCGCGCTTTTTTCTTCTTTTTTTTTCTTCGTATGCTTCATATGCTCTATCGCCGTAGCTCCTACGAAGTAGCCGTAGCTCCTACGAAGTAGGAAAGCGGAGGCCTTAGGCCGATTCGCCGTCCGTCGCCGTAGCTCCTACGAAGTAGGAAAGCGGAGGCCTTAGGCCGATCCGGCGTCCGTCTGTCCACCAAGTCGTCGGTTCAACCCCTAGCGCGCCGCTTTTTTTCTTTTTGCGCGCCGCTTTTTTTCTTTTTTTCTTCGGCTGCTTCATATGCTTCATATGCTTCATATGCTTCATGTGCACATATGCATCTTATGCGATATGCGATATGCAGCGATAGCAGATCGCAAACTTCGACGTTCCAACTTAAACACACGCACTTCACGATACGTGCACACGCACCTATGCATTATATGCTTCATATGCTTCATATGCACATATGCATATGATGCGATATGCGATATGCAGCGATAGCAGATCGCAAACTTCAACGTGCGCTTAAACACACGCACTTCACGATACGTGCACACGCACCTATGCATTATATGCTTCATATGCTTCATATGCACATATGCATATGATGCGATATGCGATATGCAGCGATAGCAGATCGCAAACTTCAACGTGCAAACTTCAACACGCGCACATATGCATGATATGCTTCATATGCTTCATATGCTTCATATGCACGTATGCATATTATGCGATATGCGATATGCAGCGATAGCAGATCGCACACTTCAACGTGCAAACTTCAACGCGCAACATCAACACGCAAACTTCAACACGCGCGCTTTATCGCACAATTCGATGCGCGTTTCAAAATGCGCTTCCGCGTCGGAATGAATGCCGTACACGCTTCATACAGCGCGATTCGCATAGCTCTAAACGCGCAATTCGACATGCAATTCAACGTACAATCAGCCGCGGAATCCAACGCGCGCTTTGTCGCACAATTCGATGCGCGCTTCAAAACGCGTTCCGGAATGAATGCCGTACGCGCTTCATACAGCACGATTCGCACATCTCTAAACGCGCAGTCCGATGCGCAATTCAATGTACAATTAGCCGCGGAATTCGATGCGCGCTTTAGCGCATAATTCGATGCGCGCTTCCGCGACGGAATGAATGCCGTACGCGCTTCATACAGCGCGATTCACACAGCTCTAAACACGCAATTCGACGCGCAATTCAACGTACAAGTAGCCGCGGAATTCGACGCGCACTTTGGCGCATAATTCGATGCGCGCTTCATATGAATGCCGTACGCGCTTCATACAGCACGATTCACACAGCTCTAGATGCGCAATTCGATGCACAATTCAATGTACAATTAGCCGCGGAATTCAACGCGCGCTTTACCGCATAATTTGATGCGCGTTTCAAACCGCGCTTCCGCGTCGGAATGAATGCCGTACACGCTTCATACAGCGCGATTCGCATACCTCTAAACGCGCAATTCGCTATGCAATTCAACGTACAATCAGCCGCGGGATTCAACGCGCGCTTTGTTGCACAATTCGATGCGCGCTTCAAAACGCGCTTCCGCGTCGGTACACGCTTCATACAGCGCGATTCGCACAGCTCTAAACAATTCGACGTACAATTAGCCGCGGAATTCGACGCGCACTTTAGCGCATAATTCGATGCGCGCTTCATATGAATGCCGTACGCGCTTCATACAGCACGATTCACACAGCTCTAAATGCGCAATTCGATGCACAATTCAATGTACAATTAGCCGCGGAATTCAACGCGCGCTTTACCGCATAATTTGATGCACGCCTCAAAACGCGCTTCCGCGTCGGAATGAATGCCGTACGCGCTTCATACAGCACCGTTCTGCACTTTTAAGCTTTGATGCTTCTCGCAATTCCCCTTGTCACTGTGCCGAAATACTTTCGAGTTTTTTGCTCTTTCTTTTCGCTTCTTTCGCCTTCTCTGCCGTTGACGAGCTGATATTCTTAACGGCTCAATTAGTATACGTGTCCACCTCGCACGTGTTCGCCTCGTGTTCGCCTCGTTAAATCGTTAGGTCTTTATGGCAGATCGGCCTCCTTCGAAGCGGCTTCGGCTCGGTTCGCTTGCAGACGGGTTCCGTTGTGGGAGAACACGTCCGTTTAGTGATTTGTGCACTGACCAAGCACCTCAGCAGCGGCAGCATGCTGCATCACAGCAGACAGCCGCGCCAGCTAATTCAAGGGGGTCCGCAGAGGGCCAGCAAGCGGTTGCTGCTGTCGATACGCCGGTGGAGGAGCAGCAAGAGGCTGCTGAACCTTCTGCTGCGGAATTACGGGCTAAATGGCGACGGCAGAAAGCTGCACAGCGTGCCGCAGCCCCTCCTGAGTTGCGGGTGTTGCAGCGCCAGCAGGATGCTGCACGGCACGCAGCTGCACGTGCCGACCCGGAGGTGGGGTTCGATTCCCGCGCGAGTGCTGCACACTGCCCGACAGACTACATTTGCGTGCTAGGCTCCGCAAGCTTCATATTCCTACGAAATGCGCGTGTGTCATACACGCCGTATACGTACGCCCTTAACCGCCGTACAACGCACACACGGAGCTACGGCCCACTCGCGCGAACAGCGCGCTCTAGTAGCCGTAGCGACTACGTAGTAGTCTAGCGGAGGCCTTAGGCCGATTCGCCGTCCCTCCGTCCGTCCGTCCCTCCGTAGCCGTAGCGACTACGTAGTAGTCTAGCGGAGGCCTTAGGCCGATTCGCCGTCCGTCCGTCTGTCCGTCTGTCTGTCCACCAAGTCGTCGGTTCGACCCCTAGTGCGCCGCCTTTTTCTTTTTGCGCGCCGCTTTTTTTCTTTTTTTTCTTCGTATGCTTCATATGCTTCATATGCTTCATATGCTATGCTTCATATGCTTCATATGCATGCACATATGACCATATGCACGTATGCACATATGCTTCATATGCACATATGCACATACGCACAGCTCTAAACGCGCAATTCGACGCGCAATTCAACGTACAATTAGCCGCGGAATTCGACGCGCACTTTAGCGCATAATTCGATGCGCGCTTCATATGAATGCCGTACGCGCTTCATACAGCACGATTCACACAGCTCTACATGCGCAATTCGATGCACAATTCAATGTACAATTAGCCGCGGAATTCAACGCGTGCTTTATCGCATAATTTGATGCACGCCTCAAAACGCGCTTCCGCGCCGGAAGGAATGCCGTACGCGCTTCATACAGCACCGTTCTTCGCTTTTAAGCTTTGACGATCTCGCTTTGATTTGACGATTCCCTTTGTCACTGTGCTGATATACTTTCGAGTTTTTTGCTCTTTATTTTCGCTTCTTTCGCCTTCTCCGCACTTTAGCGCAGGATTCGATGCGCGCTTCATATGAATGCCGTACGCGCTTTATACAGCACGATTCACACAGCTCTAAATGCGCAATTCGATGCACAATTCAATGTACAATTAGCCGCGGAATTCAACGCGCGCTTTATCGCATAATTTGATGCGCGTTTCAAAACGCGCTTCCGCGTCGGAATGAATGCCGTACACGCTTCGTACAGCGATTCGCATAGCTCTAAACGCGCAATTCGACATGCAATTCAACGTACAATCAGCCGCGGGATTCAACGCGCGCTTTGTTGCACAATTCGATGCGCGCTTCAAAACGCGCTTCCGCGTCGGAATGAATGCCGTACGCGCTTCATACAGCACGATTCACCTAGCTCTAAATGCGCAATTCGATGCACGATTCAATGTACAATTAGCCGCGGAATTCAACGCGCGCTTTATTGCATAATTTGATGCGCGTTTCAAAACGCGCTTCCGCGTCGGAATGAATGCCGTACACGCTTCATACAGCGCGATTCGCATACCTCTAAACGCGCAATTCGATATGCAATTCAACGTACATTCAGACGCAGGATTCAACGCGCGCTTTGTTGCACAATTCGATGCGCGCTTCAAAACGCGCTTCCGCGTCGGAATGAATGCCGTACGCGCTTCATACAGCGCGATTCGCACAGCTCTAAACACGCAATTCGACGCGCAATTCAACGTACAATTAGCCGCGGAATTCGACGCGCACTTTAGCGCATACTTCGATGCGCGCTTCATATGAATGCCGTACACGCTTCATACAGCACGATTCGTACAGCTCTAAATGCACAATTCCATGCACAATTCAATGTACAATTAGCCGCGGAATTCAACGCGCGCTTTATCGCATAATTTGATGCACGCCTCAAAACACGCTTCCGCGTCGGAATGAATGCTGTACGCGCTTCATATAGCATCGTTCTTCGCTTTTAAGCTTTGACGATTCTCGCAATTCCCCTTGTCACTGTGCCGAAATACTTTCGAGTTTTTTGCTCTTTCTTTTCGCTTCTTTCGCCTTCTCCGCCGTTCACGAGCTGATATTCTTAACGGCTCAATTAGTATACGTGTCCACCTCGCACGTTCAACCGTGCATGTTCGCGGGAGTCATAGTCCTCCTATTACAAGCATGCGCATTTCGCCAAGGTTCGCCCAAGGTCGGTGACACCTGACGAATGAAATCCGATCGGGTCGTGAGAACAAAGTTGCATCACCTCAAGGTTGCACAAATGTACGTGCGCTGTAAAAATTATTAAACCCAGGCCTGCCTGGAATGTATAGCATTATGTCCTCTGCGTGTCATCTATCAATTACGACCTCTGCCTACTGAAACTTGTACGTTCCTCTCGCCAACATGGGACCCAAGTGAGTTCCTCCATCAAAATCCTCCATATTAGCCAAGAAAGCAAGTCTTGAAGTGTCTGTAATATAAACTCGCCTTGTACACATTTGATGCGTTGGCTTGGCCGACTACCGGCTGTGCGATTCAACTGCGCATATTTCGCCAGTATGCAACTACATGCTCCATAACGCGTGCGTTTGGTCGTTGTGGACTTCATGCGTGAACGGAGCGCGCTCCCGTAGGTCCTCAGCTGATTTGCATATACCAAGCACGGCGCATAGTGGTTGCGTGCAATGCAGGAATCAGCCAGCATCAGCCAGCAACGGAGATACGGCCCACTCGCGCGAACAGCGCGCTCTAGTCTGTCCACCAAGTCGCCGGTTCAATCCCCAGTGCGCGCGCGTCTTTTTTTTGCGCGCTTTTTTTTCTTTTTTCTTCGTATGCTTCATATGGACATATGCACATATGCAATATGCTTCATATGCACATATGCACATATGCTTCATGTGCACATGTGCACATATGCTTCATATGCACAGAAGCACATATGCACATATGCACATATGCACATATGCACATATGCACATATGCTTCATATGCACATATGCACATGTGTTTCATATGCGCAAATGCTTCATCTGCAAGCATATGCCACATGCGATGTGCAATCATATGTGATCTGCAAGCATATGCGATCTGCAAGCATATGGGATCTGCAAGCACATGCCAGATGCGATCTGCAAGCATATGCCGTAGCATAGCATAGCGCGTACGGCATATCATAGCGCGTACGGCATAGCGTAGCATATCATAGCGCGTACGGCATAGCGTAGCATATCATAGCGCGTACGGCATAGCGTAGCATAGCATAGCGCGTACGGCATAGCATAGCGCGTACGGCATAGCGTAGCATAGCATAGCGCGTACGGCATAGCATAGCGCGTACGGCATAGCGTAGCATAGCATAGCGTGTACGGCATATCATAGCGCGTACGGCATAGCGTAGCACAGCATAGCGCGTACGGCATAGCATAGCGTAGCATAGCATAGCGCGT